TGTGAATTGTTTTTTCACCCAACTGCCACCCTTGCCATTTTTGCTCCCCCTTTCCAGCCCCCCTGCACATTTCCCCTTCCCTTTCCCCAGTCATTTTGCAACTTTTTACACACACACACACACACCATTTCCCGTGCTCTCCTTTTCCCACCACCCTCACTGTTTGCTCACTTCTTACCTCCTGGCCACAGCTTTCAAGGCTGAAAGCCTCCTATTCTGATGGGGTTGCTAGGCACCCCCACACGGCCAATCATGATCTTGTGAGGTTTTGTTAGGTCTCAGTCAGACTTCTCCTTCTGGCGGAATTGTAACTCTCCTCACTGTCTTTCTTTTTGGATTTTGGTGGCTGCCCCAGGTTTGCAGGAAAATCACCCTTCTCTGTACATCCACATCCTGGGACCATTTCAGAATTAATTGGTGTGGTGGATTTATGGTGACCCATAGGGTTTTCAAGGCAAGAAACATTCAGAAATCGTTTGCCATTGCCTGCCTCTGTGTCGCGACCATGGGCTTCCTTGGAAGTCTCCCATGCAAATACTAGCCGGGGCTGACCCTGCTTAGCTTCTGAGATCTGATGAGATCTGGCTAGCCTAGGCTCAGAATTAGTTTTAAAAGGTAAAGGTAAAGGTTCCCTTGCTCAAAAGCCAGTCGAGTCCGACTCTAGGGTTGCGGTGCTCATCTCTGTTTCAAAGCCAAAGAGCCAGCGCTGTCCGAAGACGTTTCCGTGGTCATGTGGCCACCATGACTAAACACCAAGGCGCACGGAATGCTGTTACCTTCCCACCGAAGTGGTACCTATTTAAATGAAAAGGTTCCCTTGTTCGAAAGCTAATCGAATCCAACTCTAGGGTTGCGGTGCTCATCTCCATTTCAAAGCCAAAGAGCCAGCGCTGTCCGAAGACATTTCCGTGGTCATGTGGCCGGCATGACTAAACACCAAGGCGCACGGAACGCTGTTACCTTCCCACTGTCTCAAACTGCTGAACTACCGGCCTTCCACAGCCTGCATTTCTTGCTTTCGAACTGCTAGGTTGGCAAGAGCTGGAACTAGAGACGGGAGCTCACTCCGTCATGCGGCAACTCGGGTCTCAAACTGCTGAACTACTGACCTTCCACAGCCTGCAGTTCAGCGTCTTAACCACTTGAGCCACCGCAGCACCTATTAGAATTAATAATTATATTAATAATAAATTAATAGTTATATTAATAATAAATTAATTAATAATTATATTGATAATTAATTATAATCATTATAATTCTAGTTATTAGAATTAGTTAGATATAAGTAATTCCTGTGCACACTTTATACATATACATATTTACAAAAATATATTTATTGTTTAAATATGAATAATTTTTGCAACAAGGATTATGCTATAATGTGTTTGATAATAACATATTAAACAGTTCAGTGTTTTCAATGTTATAAAATTTAACTCGATACCCAAACCCTCTGGTAGACCTATTTGTGACTACATATTTCTATTCAAAGCTTGCTCTTTTTTTTTTTACTAAAACATTTGTTTTCTAATATTTTTTCCTACCTCTCAGTTGGCAACAATTAAGATGTGTGCTAAGGTAGCACAGGCTGCAGTAGTTTGAAGTTCATTCTCTCTCAGGTACTCTGTATGTTTGTAACTTGCAGTAAAGGCACTTATACTTTCCAATTTCATTAAACTGCCAAGCAGTAAATTTTATATGCTTTGTAATTAATGATGTATTTTATATTGTTAAAGAGTAAAATAAATTTGATAGGAAATTTAATTATTACATATATTTCGGTTTCCCTTGGGGGAAAAATTTTTCTCCTCTATGAATTCAACATTTTCAGAAATGTTCTTGTACCTACATTCAGTCTCGCCACCACACCACACCACCTCTTCAAAACATTGTCATTAATTAAAGTGCTTGAGCAGTGTTCAGCATGTTGTTAGACTACTGCTAGTTAGCTACTACAATATTTAACATGCATTTAGTGCTGTACAGAGCACAGAAGTGATGCATTACTAGAAAGTTTACAATCACAATGGGTGGTCAAGTGATTTATGATGAGAAGGAGCAACGAAGAGGCTCCATATGGAAGAAATATACCCTTCTGTGTACTTCTTCTGTATCATGAGAGCCCCAAGAGCCACAGAGGTATGAATCACTCAGAGTAGCAGCTACCCAGTGTGGGCAGAAAAGAGACAACCTGAAACGCAACTGCATAGATCAAATCTATAAACGCAGTTAGCACGAGTCCTGGACTATCCAGCTCAGATGTAGAAGAGCTATATTATTTTGAATTGGTTTGCCCACATTAAAATTCTTTTCAAGCAGGCCTGTAGCTAGGATTTTGTGACTTGTGGGGCAAAAAAATTTCTGGTGGGACTGCCATTAGTTTTATGTCAGCTCCAATCTGCCCCCAAGCCCAACTGCCGGCAGCCACCCCTCTCCCTCCCTCCTGCAAGATTTAAAGGGCCCTTCACCTGATTGGCGGGGAGCATGTGGCTCGCAGATCAGATGGAGGGGAGGGAGAAGGGCGCATGCCACACACACACACGCGCGCTTCTTCTCAAAAGCATTTAAAGGATCCCTTTAAAGGCTTTTGAGAAGAAGCAGGGGGTGGGGGATGCCCCCCAATTCTTCTAAAAAAATCTTGTGGGGCTGGCCCTTTAAGGAAGGAGGCAGAACCCCCAGTAGCCCAACTGTATCTATGGGGCAGCTTTCAAGTAGAAAGCCAGTGCGCCAGGGAGAAAGATTCCAGCCCTCTCCTGAGTGTACTAGTTTTATAGCTAAAGGAAGTCTTTTATTGAGAACCAGTATGGGGGAGTGGTTAAAGTGTCATATTAGGATCTGGGGAACCCAGATTTGAATCCCTGCTCCTGTCACGGAAGCTTGCTGGATGACCTTGGGCCAGTCACACACTCTCAGCCTAACCTACCTCACAGGGTTGTTCTGAGGATAAAAAGGAGATGAAAACAGTGTAAGCCCCTTTAGGTCCCCACTGGGGAGAAAGGCAAGATATAAATAAAGTACGGTCCCGGTCACACGGGCCATAAAATGCGGGGGTGGGGGTGGCAGTTTGGCCCGGAGCAAAATAACGCGCAGCCGCCCGATCACAGGTCCCATTGAGGTCCCGTGGTGATCACACGACAATCCTGCAGCGCAGCAAAGAAGCGGCGCGATCTCACCAACGGCATGCACGATTTTGCAAAGCAACGGAACTTTTGCTTTCCTCTTTGTGCGCATGCGCCTTTGGGTCTTGTGCGCATCCTGTGGAGACTTGGGGGGGGAACCAGTTTGCGACGAGACATGGGCGTGCGCCGGATGCCACGGACTACCACCGGAAACGCGATCAGACGCCAGCCCTTGCCCCGCGGTTTCCGGAAACTAGTACCTCGGAGGTACTAGTTTTTAACTCCGCATCTTCGGCGGGAAGCCTCGGGTTCGCCATGGGAGCTCTACGCTTCCCAGATGTTGCGGTGTGGTCACGCCCGGAAAATCCACCTATCATCCGTCTCAGTAGCGTGTGACCCCAGCCTACATACATTTTTACTGACCCAGCTTTCAGGATTCCCAGATCTGCAGCCTGAAATGCTTCTACCAACTGCTTTTAAGAATGTATGCAGCCTGCCAACTTTGTTAATGATGAGCTCTGGAGTGGTTGATTGCAAACCAAAAACAACCAAGAGGAGGGATTTCTGCTAATAAGAGTGAACATCACCCTAAGCAAATGCTTTACAGAGCCTGCTTATTATATGGGGCAGTTCCACATAACTGCATTTCCAGGATGTCTCTCATGTGGCTGTTTCCACCTGTGCACTTGGGACCACTCTATGCAGCATTATGTTTTGCACAAAGTGGGAGGCATCCCTTCTGAGAATTAGAATTCATGGAATTAGAATTGTAAGCCGCTCAGAGCCCCTTGGGGGGGTGAGCGGGATAGAAAGTTGAAATAAATAAATAAATAAATAAATAAATTCTGTACTGGTCCTAGAAGCTGAATTAGCTTTAATCAACCCAAAAGTAACTTCTTCATAATCCCTTTGGGTGATGACTTGTTGATCTTGTTGGATGGATATAACCAATGTTCCCTCTAAGCTGTGGAGTCTTGTGAGCAAAAACTCTACTTTGGCCCCTGCCACCCGCAGGGGAAAAGGCGCTTGAAGGCGCGGCTTTTAAAAGCCGCGGCAACGTTGACACGGCGCGGCGGGATCTCACGGATCCCCCGGCCGCGCCGCCGTTTCTCCCCGGTGCGATCAAACGCCGGGGAGAAAACACAGCCCTAACCGGGGGCGGCCGAACTGCGCATGTCGGAGCATGCGCAGTTCGGCTCCGGGCCGGGGTTGAGCCGGCGCAAGGGAGCGCCGGCGATCAGACGCCCAGAGTGCAGCGCGTCTACTCATTGAACCACCGAGGTAGGTGGTGTCAACTTGAGGCGCGTTTTCCCAGAAAGGGCCAGTTTGGGGGCGGAAGCAGAACGCTTCCCAGATGTTGTGGTGTGATCGCGCTGCTTTGATCCGCCCCCAAACTGGCCCGCAACTGGGCCCAAATCGCCGCGTATGAACGGGACCTTTGTGAACTACTGGCATTAAGGTTGTGAGTGAGCGATTTGGCTACTGCATAAATTAGTTCCTGAGCTAGGAGAAAAATCTGTGAGCTGGAGGCTAAAAAACTGTGAGCTAGCTCACACTAACTCAGTTTAGAGGGAACACTGGCTATAACAGTGTTTATTATCAGTTTGTATCAACCTCGAAAACGTTAAAATAGTACCAAGTGAGCCATGACAGTGGCAGCCTTATTTCCCCCCTTTCATTTCCTACTGGAGTTGCTGAAGCCCGGGTTTGCAACCATCTCTGTGCTGCTCCACCTAATGAGATTGGAAAGCAGACTCTCGCTTTTTCTAAACTTTCTGTTGCCTTTTTTTTTTTAACCCACACCTCTAAATCCACTCCACGCCCGGAGTCAGAACTCCACTTTTCTCTTTAAAAACAACAACACATAAAATCCATCACTTCATGTCTGCCAAAATACCGAGGTCGCCAGAACACGAGCGGCAAACCTTCCCGAGCTGCCAGCACGCAGGCTCCAGACTCCCGCCGGCCTCCTCCGTCCCACTCCGCCTCCTTTACGGAGTTGTGACGAAAACGCCTCTCGCTTCCCTCATTGGCCGACTTCAGCTTCCGCAAAACGGCGCCGCGCGGAAAGGGAAAGACGAATCCGGCATGTTCGTTCCTCTGAGGTGGCTCCGCGAGCCGCCCCGTCACCTGCTCGTCTGCGAGAAGAGCCACGTGCGGCACGAGCGCTCCCGCCACGCGGCTCACGTGCGGGACCACGCCTTCAACTGCCGGGTAGGGAGCGCGCGCGCGCCTCGCTTTCCCCTCAGCGGCTGGCCGCGGGGTGCGTGGTGTGTCGCGGAGGAGTCGGTCGAGGGGCCAGTTTATCACCCACTCGGTGCCTTGCCTCACCGGGGCGCTGAGGCGCCCTTTGTTTTAAAAGCACAGTTTCTATAAACGCACAATCAGACAGCAGAGAGCAGATATAAAAACAGGCTTTAGTGCCTGCGGCTCAGAGAGAGGTGCACATGTGACTCTTTGGCTCCTCTTGGGGTTCCCAGTTCTGGGGTGGGAAGTACCTGGGGATTTTGGGGGTGGAGCCTGGGGAGGGAAGGGAGCTCGTTAGGGTACAATGCTACAGAGTCTGCCATCCAAAGCAACCGCTTTCTCCTTGGGAACTGATCTTTTTTGTCTGAAGATCAGTTGTGATAGTGGGAGACCTCCAGGCCCCGCCTGGAGGGTGGCCACACCACTCCCCCACGTTAATTTCACAGTACTCCCTCCCAGGTACATTAGGCTGAATGACTGAGCTGTGTGTTGCACTCAGATTTTAGCCTTGTACTTAACTGCGGTACCATGTTTGCTTGCTTGTTTGTTTTGTTTTGATTTATATCCTGCCCGCAAGCGGGCTCAGGGTGGGTTACCAAAGTCAACTCAGCAAATGTCGTGACTGCAATGTACAGTAGGCTTAAAATAGTTACAACAGAATTAAAACAATCTAATCCAGTGGTGGTGTAGTTCTATCAGTGCTGGACCCTCAGCAACAGTATTCTAGGGTTACCATATGTGGTAGGAGCCCTGTATGGTAAGTCCCCCTCCACCAGTTCAACCCCTGCCAGTGGCAAAGACCCATACAAAAAATGGGCAGGAAGAAACAGCCTTTATTCAGCTGAAAGACCCGTTACATCATTTGCAATCACTTTAAATGCATTTCTAATAATTCAATGATCCTGCCCCTTTTTAATAGTACTGCCCCATCAGCTGCCTTAGATGCCCTTTCTGATGCCCTATCCTGAATTTCACATGCTAATGATTATTTCAGCTTTCTTCATACATTCTGTACTAATCAGCAATATATGTTTTGCTGTGCTTCTTGCCCGTTCCACCTCCCTTGCTTGGCCTTCAGAGGTCCTGTTCATCCCGTTTGTCTACAAAGAAGCAAATCTTGAGTGCATAGCAGTTTTTGTCTATAATGTGAATCCTCTGCCTGTGTGAAACTTCTGCTTGCTATCAGACCATGGGGTTCTCAGCCTCTAGGCTGGGCCCAGAGATTTCCCAAATATTATCCTTCACACATATTTTGAAAAGCAAAAAAGAGGACATGTTTCCCGACTGACTTCTTCAAACAAGCAATCACTAGGACAAACCTCATTTGAAATACCCCTAACTATTTAAGCTGTGACAATTGCTACTAAACTAGGAATATTCTTTTTACCATTTTTAAAAAAGAGCCCAGAAGAGGATGGATAATAAAAAAGAGGACATTTGGTACCCCTAACTATTCAAAACCTTTGAACATTAACAAAAGTCAATGGCATACAGTTGCTTTTTGGGACATACATGGTTTTCAGCTGCTGGTTGTGTCTGTTTTCTTGCAGGCTGCCATGAGGAGCAGTTATGTTGAGATGCAGCCTAAAAAAAGAGAGAGAGAAATATCCTTGGCATAGACAAGTTTGTGTACGTTTGTCTGGGGGGGGGGCTGACATTACAAGACGGCATTGGTTGGTCACTTCTTGTGGTCTCTTTTTCTTGTGCCGCTCCCATCTCCAGTTTTGAAATTTATTTATTTATTTATTGGATTGAGCTGTAACACCAGGAGTGACAAGTGCCTCAGGAAGGAGGCAGCTACAGAAGGAAGGTAGTCAGGGATCACTAGAAGGATTCCCACTCACATTCTGCTTCTATCACTATCCTGCATTATACAGGTCTGAGCTGGACCTTTATTTGATCGAATACAGCTGCTACTGTATCTGACGGAAGCCTTGTGCTGACTTAGCATGCTACCACTTTTGTTGTTTTATTTCTCTGTTTTTAGCATGTCATTGCTGCTGCCTGTCTTATAGGAATCAAAACATTCTTTGCCAGAATGATTTAACAATCCAATGGACACTTTACACGAAAGGAATAAGGGAACAACAAAGACATGTGTATCAACTCTGTGGGCGTACCACACATTCCTTTGTTATGCACACTTTCCTTGTAGAACTGTGAACTTGTTATCACATGCTTTCCCTGTAGAAACAAGCTACAATAATAACATTCAGTTCAAAATAGCTTGCTTTTGATCTGTTCATTTTCCCTGGCTTGATTGTTCCTGTCACACTCTCCCTTTTGATGTTTTTCATCTTGTGATAATCTCTTGTGGCATTTGTTTTATACATAGCACACATTTTCTCAGTCCTTGCATAGCTCAGGAGAGTAAGAGAGTAAGAGAGGTTGTGATGCATGGTTTGTCCCCAGTGTGGCCGGAAGATATGCTTGTCTCTTGTAGCATTTATCAGGAAAGTCCTTGGTTCAGGTTCCCTGTAGTCCTAAACATGATTCACATAATTAGTCAAGCAGAGGAACCCCTGGCTTCTAATGCATGGACAGTTGGAGTGGCCTAGCCGTTATGGTGTGTTGGACTTGCTCACTGAGAAAAGACACTGGATGCTGCATGCAAGTCACTCTTTCTCAGTGTGGTCTTCTACCATGTAGAGTTGCTGTGAGGATAAAATAGGATACATTCCTATATGACACATCTGTTCTCAGGTATCTTGGATACAAAAAGAAAATGGAAATAAAAAAGATGCAAACCGGAGGGCAATATTTGAACTGTTCATGTGTAACCTCTCCTTGAGGATATTATTTCATTTAAAAAAACCACATTCCTGTGTTCTGTCTGTTACTTTGTGGTCCAGTTATGCTGTATTGTCAGTGAGCAGAATGTCTGATTTGTGTCCTAAATGTTCTCTGAACAGGTGACCTTTTTGATCCCTGACTGTGGAATAGTTCCAGAAGCATTACAAAGTGCAGTTACAAGTCTAGGGGAGTACTACTTGGTGAAGAACTTACCTCTGCATGAGTTAGTTACAGAGGAATTTATTAACACATTTGTGAAGAAAGGTAAGCCAGAACTGAAACTGATAAGCAAGTATAAGAGAAACTGCAGTAAAAAACAGTGTTGGGTTTTTTAAGTACATATGCTGCTAGAGAGAAACAAAAAAAGTATTATCCTTACTGAGTTGCTAGCACTTAATACTGGGTTTATTTATATGTATTTATTTTATATAGCCTTCGGGGTAGGGCGGGATACAAATCTAAAGATAAATAAAATAAAAAATAAATGTTTTATTTATAACATTTTTATGCCACCTTTTCACCCAGTTCAAAATTCCAGTTCAGAACAATACAACTTCTGCGCTGAGAAAGGATTTAATCTTTTTGCAGCATTAGGTGTTCCTAAGCCCTTACTGTAGATATGATTGCAAACTTAATGAGATAAATATATTGTCCCACAATCTCATACAAAGCGATGTGCAGAAATTAAGCAACTGCTATCAGTTTTTCCATACTTGGAGTCCAGTATTTTATACCATGTAAAATTCTCAAGGTTTTAGATAGCGTTGATTCGTTGTCTTCTTGCATCAAAAGCCTTGGCAGTGTGTCTTTGAAGCTCAGGCTTTTCTGTAGGAGATGTAGCATTAAAAGGTGTATGAACCTTTGTTGCTTGTATTTGTGTTTTAGGATCATGTTACGCTCTTACATATCATACAAGAATCGATCAAGACAATACTGCTGCTTTGCTGCCCACAGGTATGGAATCATGTTCCGGCCGCATACGTTAATCCTTTCACATTTTTATAGTTTTAAGCATCACTGAATTCAGTGGCACCATGTAAAGCTGTGTGTAAAGCTAATATATTCACATGAGCAGTGATCATTAGAAAAATTAACTGAATTGATTGAAACTGAATTCTAAGTTACATGTGTTTAACATGCTGGATGTCACTCCTTATCTTTGTGCTGGACAGCTGCTAAAGAAATGGATGGGATTTTCTCATATGTGTTTACTAAATTAACATTTTATTACATATTTTAATCAATGGGATCCTTGGTGTCTGGAAATATAATTTATTTAAAATAATTTTTGCTCATAGGGAAACTAATTTTATCAGTGGACAAAGACACTTATGAAGAACTTGGTTTGCAAGGCCATCCATCTCGGTATTCTGGTAAAAAACGAATGAGATATAGTAAGTATTCTTCTGAATGGTGTATGTACCATATAGGATTAAATCTTTCTAGGTGCTTGAATTTCTTGTAAGTGCTCACTTGAAAATAGCTCAGTTGACTGTCTAGTTCAGCTGCGTTTCCTGGGGATGGAGCTTCTGGGATATGAAATTAGAGTTGGATTCAGGTTAACATGAATCACTCTGTAAACCTGTTGTGAAGGTGAAGATGTTCACCATGATCCGCAAAAGAGTTCTGTGCACAGAAGCCATTCCCTCTGTGTGTAACTGATGTCTTGTGGATGCATGTGAGCCCCGACATGTGCATCACAAATACAATGCTCTTCTGTTGAACTCTCTAGATGTGTCTTTTGATGCAGATTAAGATATCCATCCCATGTCTCTGGTACATGCGCACTGATATTTTATCACAGTTTCTATTGCTAATAAAGTGTCTTAATTTTTTGTTCAATTTTTTCTAGCTATCTGTATAACTAAGATCTATTAATACTATGCTTATTTTAAAATTTCCTTTATTCATATTAATAGTTATTACTGTTGACTTGACGGAACCAACTTTTGGTCCCGATAGTAAGAAAAATAAGAGAGTGATCTGGGCCCTGAAGGAGAAAAAGCCTCTAGAGTTTGACTTCCTGCTGGCTTGGCACCACACAGGTAAATAACAGGCTGCATGTGAAACAAAACTGTGGAATACATTAAAATTAGATATTAGACATATGGCTGCACATCTGTGCATTTAAGCTGCTTGTAAATTTTACATAGGAAGGGTGATCTGTAGTTCAGAGAAACCTCTCATTTGGCAGAACTCCAGAACTCACTGTGGGCAATGTGCCTCTCTCCAGACTTAGTTTTAAGTGATTGATTGGCTGGTTGCTTGCTTGTGTGTTTAGTTTAAGAACGAAAACTAATTTGTTGGTAATGGTGGTACATATTAGCAGCTGAAAGTCTTAAATAGACATGAGATAATGGAATATGGGTAGCATTTATTTTTTAAAAAATTAAAAGGAGGCACATGTGGATTTTTCAAAATGTATAAGAGACTATCAGTTCATTTACAACAATGTATACATCTTGCAAATCGTGACATTAGTGTTGTTATGAGCTTTAAAAAGAATGTGGCTGAAGCAAGAAGGACATTTGAATTCTGAGTTTATGTAGTTGCTATTCTGCAGTATTTTTTTCTCCAACAGAGCCCTTTAATTTTCCTTTCCCGTGATGAGCATTCAGTAAACAGATTCCTTGCCAATGTTATCTAACTGCCAAATTTAAATGTATTTTTTTCAGCTTAAACTTCTAATAATGAAGTTGATTACATAAATTTTGGCCATGTGGTTCAATGAGGTCACTCAGTAGTTTAACCAGGCCTGAAAGTGTACTTTGTTTCCTCAAAGCAAAGCTGGGAGGAGGAGGAGGTTGAAAGTCACAGGAATTTGGCATGACATAGAGAAACAGCGTGCAGGAAGATTTCATTTCAGCACAGTATTTCGCTACATTCATCCTGCTACTTCACAGACAAGAGATGGAGTAGTTTGAAACAAAATCCTTTTGTGAAGTGTTTTGTTTTGTTTTTTGGTTAAAATCTGGGATGTATTTTATTTTTTGCTTTTAAGGGTCAGAAGAATCAACATTGATGTCATACTTTTCCAAATACCAAATACAGGCCTTGCAGCCAACAGTAACATTCAGCACATTAAGAAATGTGCAGTGTCCAGTGCTGGAGAATAATAAACTGAAAGGGGAACCAGAAGTAGCATGCAGTGCTCAGGAATTCTTTGAATGGCTAGGTGCCATTGTCAGCTGTGTTGGCTTGTAAGTATATAGATTCTGTGTTAACACTTTTAGTACATTTTTTTTCTTGTTCTTTATACACTTTGTTGGTGGAGTTTAGGTGATGACTTTCACATCTAAATTGCTCTTAGAAGTAAGGAAATTATTCAGAGCATCACTGTGTTGTGCAGATTCCACAGGGCAAAATCCACAGGTCCCAGCGACTGCAGTGGTGCTTGCACAGGGGAATTGCCCTGTGGATTGTGCTCAGTGAAAGGGAAAAAATGCTTAGCACTTTACTGTTTTAACTGCCTCATCCACAGATTTTAAAGCAGTAATTGTTATTTAGCGAATAGCATTTTGCAGTGCCAGAGTCCTGCAGATTCTCTTATTTTGTCTATCCTCTATTTGCAGAGACAACTCATCCTCTAGCTTCTTATCAACCTATTCATGCCCTCAGCCAAGCACCTTTGTTGACCAAGTTTTGTTGTGTACGATAACTGGCTTTATCCTTCCAGAGAAGATAATGCATTTATTGGAACAAATATGGTAAGCAGTGTGTTGTACAAACTGAACAATGTATAACAGCAGCTAGAAGTATGCCTTAGAAATCTCAAGTTCTGAATGAAGTATGCTTTTGTGTGCTAAACCTTGTTTGCACTATTTATTTTGACGTAATTTTGGAGGAAAAAGTTTTGAGTCCAGTGGCACGGCTGCCCACCTGGATCTATAATTTTAGCAGGTTTTATATGCTTTCCTACTTGTAACTTCTTGCATGCTAGTAATTTTTCTTCACTAAATTAAGCTTGCTGTAAAGTGTGACTTACCAGGCACTGCTGTCAAAGCCCTGGTATTATATTAAGTAAATAGATTTCTGGTACTAGCTGCAATTCAATGCCCATAATCTCTGTGATTAACTGCTTAATACCCTTCCAAAATGTATAGATCTTTTCACACCGCCACCACATATGGAAAAAGGTACCCACATTATTTTTACATCTCCAACAGTTTCCTGACACCTCTTTATAGCATTTAGCCACTTTATCTGGTGACCAGTGCCACCTATAGAACATTTTTAAAATATTTTCTTTATAAGATGTTGATCTTAAAAGTTTGACAGCTGTCCATATTTTTGACCAGACATCTATCTATATCCAGACTATGTTCTATATCCTGCATCCATGTTATCATTGATGGCTTGATTATTTCCTCCTGCGTGACATCATAGAACAAAATTTTATATAACTTTTGAATCAATTTATCAGGTCGACAGCCAAATTTTATCAAGATCTGTTTTCCCATTATAAAACTTCGTTATTTTATCTTTGGCGAACCTAGACTGTAATTGCACATTCTCCCACCATGTAAGTTCTATATTCATTTCTCATAGAGTCTCAAAGTGGTTTTAAATCATTAGTCTTGTTTAATAAAGTTTCATAAGTAGCTTTTTTATTTTCCAACATAAAAGTAGGCTTTGTGAAGGCCTCAAGAGGTGAGGTGGTGGAAAGAAAACTATTGAGGTAGAAAACTATTGAGGTAGACTCAGCATGGGTTCTCTAAGGGAAGATCTTATCTCACTAACCAGTTAGTGTTCTTTGAGGGGGTGAACAAACATGTGGACAAGAGGGACCCAATAGATATTGTTTACCTTGACTTCTAGAAAGCTTTCGATAAAGTTCCTCATCAAAGGCTCCTAAGTAAGCTCAAAAATCATGGGATAAAAGAACAAGTCCTTTTGTGGATCAAAAACTGGCTAATTAATAGGAAACAGCGTGAGTATAAATGGGAAATTTTCTCAGTGGAAGGTGGTAAACAATGGGGTACCACAAGGAATCAGTACTCGGTCCGATGCTTTTTAACTTTTTCATCAATGATTTGGAGTTGGGAGTAAGCAGTGAAGTGGCTAGATTTGTGGATAATACGAAGTTGTTCAGGGTAGTGAAAACCAGGGAGGATTGTGAGGCACTCCAAAGGGATCTGTCGAGGATGGGCAAGTGGGCATCAATGTGGCAAATGGGGTTCAATGTGGCCAAGTGCAAGGTGATGCACATCGGAGCCAAAAATCCTAACTATAAATACACGTTGATGGGGTCTGAACTGGCAGAGACTGACCAAGAGAGAGATCTTGGAGTCGTAGTAGATCACTCACTGAATATGTCGAGCCAGTGTGTGACTGCAATAATAAAGGCCAATGCTATGCTGGGGATTATTAGGAAGGGCATTGAAAACAGATCAGCCAATATCATAATAAAGGTAAAGGTTCCCTTGCTCGAAAGCCAGTCGAGTCCGACTCTAGGGTTGCAGTGCACATCCCCGTTTCAAAGCCAAAGAGCCAGTGCTGTCCGAAGACATTTCCGTGGTCATGTGGCCGGCATGACTAAAGACCAAGGCGCACGGAACGCTCTTATGGATAATGCCCCTATATAAATCAATGGTGCGACCTCTTTTGGAATACTGTGTACAGTTTTGGTCACCACACCTTTAAAAGGATATTATAGCATTGGGGAAAGTGCAGAAAAGGGCAACTAGAATGATAAAAGGGTTGGAACACTTTCCCTATGAAGAAAGATTATAAGATTATGCATGGGATAGAGCAGGTAGAGAAAGAGGTACTTTTCTCCCTTTCTCACAATACAAGAACTTGTGGGCACTCCATGAAATTGCTGAGCGGTCGGGTTAGAACGGATAAAAGGAAGTACTTCTTCACCCAAAGAGTGATTAACACATGGAATTATTAGCGGCTACAAGCATGGACTGCTTCAAGAGGGAATTAGATAAATATATGGAGCAGAAGTCCATCAGTGGCTATTGGCCACAAGGTATGGATAGGGACTCTGGGGCAGGTGATGCTCTGTATTCTTGGTGCTTGGGGGGGTCAACAGTGGGAGGGCTTCTAGTGTCCTGGCCCCACTGCTGGACCTCCTGATGGCACCTGGTATTTTTGGCCACTTTGTGACAGAGTGTTGGACTGGATGGGCCATTAGCCTGATCCAACATTGGCTTCTCTTACGTTCTTATGCTCTTATTTCAGAGCCAGCCATGGCTGGGAGGGTGGGGTATAAATGTAATAAATAAATATGCATAGGATTTAAGCTGCTAGTTAAGTAGTAGCATTTTAACTTATGTTACGAGTCTTTGTTTAATGACAAGGTGCTGCTTTGACTCTCTTGGCAGCTGCTATTTCGAAGAACCAAAGTTGGCTGAATGGATATCTCTGGTAGTTCATGGCTTTGCTGACAGCCCTGTTTCGTGGAGAGAAAGCGAACATGGTTTCCTGAGAGGTGGAGAGAATTTATATAACTTTGTCATTTTTCGGAGCCTGGACTACTGGCTCCAAATGGCAGTTGGAGCTCATGATGACTGTCCTTAAGTAATATATACATACAAGGACAATTAATTACTGTTTCTAAAAGGTGGATGACATTATCTATCCAAATTTAATTGAAGGGAAATAATGTGGAGTTTCATCATTTAAGCACATGTTTATTTCAGAACAGTTATTACTTCTGTTTGTTTTTTAAATGGTTAAAATTTAAGTGTTCTGTTCCTGTCCTTCAAAGTTCTGAAGTACAGACAATACAAAACCTGGGAATTTGGGAAGTGACTGCTGCAATCCCAACATTTATAAACCAAGCCAAAAAAGCTACTGAAAGAACTCATGACAAAATGCCCACTTATCCCACTTCGCAGTCAATTGGCAATCAATAGGGGACAGTGGAAAGAGTTTAAAACTGAAAGCAGACTTGTCCTATTTCTGGGATACACATTTGTTCAAAAATGCTGTTTCTAATAATGTGTTTTTAGTTGTTACCTGCATTATCGATGTGAAAAATTACATGTTTGGGGAGGGGTTATTGTGAAGATAATTTGATCTGTAAATAAAAACACTTTGTATAATATTGGCTATTATTTTTTTGTTAGAAATTGAATTTTTTCTCTCTTAAGCATGGGACAACATTGTCTTTTCCTTCCGCAAAAGGTAAATATGTTTTGCAGTGGGTAAGAAGAAACTTCAGAAACAAAAGAAAACCTAAACTCTGGAACACCCTTATCCTTGGCAGCTTAGACATAACTACTGACTACCATGTGCACAGCTCATAGGCCCTGGGATTGATTGTACATCTTCTATAACTGGTAAAGGGACAACACATGCATTCCAACTGTCAAAAGGACCCATCTTGAGCTATCTTTGTAGCACAAGGAGCTATCTTTATTGGGCGGGGGAAGGATTCTATACGCTTAAAAGGATATAGGAAATTGGAAGAAATTTAAAATGGTGTATCGTAAAGGAAGGATGGGTTTATGATATAACAAGCCTACCAGTCAATCAGTTCATAGGCACAATTCTATGATTCCCAGTGGTCCTAATGAAAGGGCCACCCCCAAACTAAATTGCCCACAACTGTTAACACTTATTGGAGTAAGAATTCCACTTTACCAGCAGTTGGGGTTGGCAGTTCACTGGTGTTCAGACAGCAGTTCTTACAACAGAAATATCTGCTGGGGCACAATCTGCCACTCTTCTGTGTGCCTCTCTGTAAAGACCTTTATAGTACGCTCTTCTTGTAAGAAAAGACTTGTGCACTTTCTAAGACGGTTAGATTATGAGTTGGAGGCAGCACCTAACTGCTAGAATACCTGCAGAGTAGCCAACATTTGGGTTGCTCTTGGCACAGTCTATTCACATGCTAATCCATCTTCACCTTTTGTAAACTAGAGTTGTAGCCCAGTGTGATGTGACGGGTGTGAGAGTAAACGGTGGGCTTGTTGACCTTCAGCAGTGGCTACAGATCAGAATCTGGTGACTTTCTTGACATTCCACATACTTAGACTAATGAATTAGTTAATTGATAGAGAATGTAATGTTGGATATATATAATATATATATATCATCCTTTGCTAAGCCAAAACTTGAGTAATTTCTTATCTACTTCTTGCATTCAGCGAGAGTAAAGCTGATCTTGATTGAGCTCATAAAGCAGGCCGTCCTTCTTTGCTGAAAAAAATAACCTTTAACCTCTGTCTGAATGCACGGAGCCATGCTTGGCTTTGATAGAGCCCTAGCCCCATTCTAATCTTAAAGTTACCATAGCTACACATCTTGGAGTCCCTGTAATACATCAGGAAAAAATGGCAGAGGCTGATCTAAATTTCCATTGACTCAAAGGATCCATATTGAGGTTCCATATAGGAGATGCAGAATAATTTTCATATTAAATACATGCAATGGGTTCAATGGGAATGTGGAGCTCCAGTGTGCAAGATCACAGCCTAAACATTTATAGGTCAGGGACTGTGATTCCCAAATCACTTAGATGTCAGGTTCACTGCAGGGTGTGTGTGTGTGTGTGTGAAAATTTGAGCTCTGAAGCCTTTGCTATTTCCACTGTTGCTATTACAAAGAGTGCTGTTTCAGTTTACTACGAACATACATCTATTTCACACCATAGCACAAGACCATGCACAGATTCAATGAAATCAGTGGTGCTGCTCCAAATTCCTTTATATTAAAACTAGCCTGATACCCGTGCTTCGCTACGGTATTTAAGTTCCATAAATCCAGTTATAATGCTGATGATGTGAAGTCTGAAATGTAACATTTGTAGGAATTCTAATGGAGAAGATTGTAGTGAAAAAAATGAAGACATACATACATTTTTTTCTCTACTGAAGGACCTCTCTGTAGACCACATTGGTGGTTCTGCTCTCGAAGTGCTAGGATCACCAGCCTGCTTGGTGAGCTCACTCTAGAGCAGGCCACATAGAACTGTCCATTTAAGAAGCAGTCGTCTGTTATGTCAACTCCTGCCACTTTCCACGAAAGTGATGGCCTTTCTACTTGTGTTCCTGGATTGTTTTGCTCATATGGAGACTGTGTTGTTCTGAGCACCTCAGGGTGATCTTGCTGGTACTTGGCCTGCACAGCTCTGTGCCTCGCAGGAGTACTATGTTCAAATGTCTTTGCTGCATTCCTAAGCTGCCTCCTCCTTGTAGCGTTGGTGTATCTGGCTCGATGTTTGCCAGGAGCTTTCTTGGGGGCAGTAAGAAGTGAGAGGTTGAGGGGGAGTTGATGTGAGGTGATGTGGTGAACATTTCTTCAGGTTCATGAGGGAGGCATGCATCAAAATGACTCCTAGACAGGCCCTTTACTATCTCCCCATGAACATTAATTAACTGGCTTTTTTGAAAATGTCTATTCAGGAGTCTTGAATCGCTGATTTCTGTAACTGTCCTCAACTGTCTGCAGTCTCTTCTGTGTTTAGATCCGCAGCTGAGCAATCAGAGGGAGGTGGGTGCAAACAGGCAGGTTTTACCTCAGAACTCTGAACTACACAGTTGACCAATGGGGGGGGGGAGGCAGCAGCCTGCCAGGCACATGGAAAACAATTGGGGGAACACATTTTGCCCCTTTTTTACCCCCTTATGGATCGTGTTTCTCAGAAATCTCTGTGGGGGGCTTGACATCATGGTAGGAATGCACTCCCTTTATTTTGGGTTTCTTGGTGCAGGGGTTTGGCCTGAGCATTGGATTGGAGGGGAGGGCATACCCCCCTCTTTTTTTTACAAAACTACCTCTCATTTATGTTACATTTAAGAAGTGGGACATAACTACGTATTCACAACACCATCCGAGCAATCAGATATTAAGCAAGTTCATATGAACCAATTTTCTAGAACCCACATTGTGAGAAGTTAAATAACCTAATAAAACAGTTTTCTACCAATTTGGGGTATATTTCCATTGTGGGTGGGAGTGTAGCTAAGCTGGGCCAGCAGCACCGCTAAAGTGATCCTGCTGGGGCAGCATCCCTGATAGATTAAAATACCCTATCCCTGCTCCTACACCTGACAGACACTGGCCTGTCTGGTGTTGGGGAGGATTGTATTTAAAGGCATCGGGGAGGCTAGGACAGTGGCAGGGCTAAAGCAATCCTGCTGAGCAAACCTTCCCGGCGGCTGTAAGCATTCCACCTCCTCTCCTACACCTGACAGGCAGCTTCCTGTCCGGTGTAGGAGGGGGAGGGGGAGGAGTATTAGAAGCCACTGTGGAGGTGGGGCTGGCAGAATCACTAAGGCGTTACTGCTGGGGCCGGCAGGGTGGCTTTAAGCACCCTGCAACCGCTGCTGCACCTGACAGACAAGCCGCCTGTCAGGTGTAGGAGTTGGGGGGAGTGTGTTAGAAGCCATCGGAGAGGCTGAGCCAGCAGCATTGCTGAACCTCACAGGTGGCCATTCCTGATTTCCTCAACTCATTAGCTTTCTGCAGTCTCCTGTAACTTTCTTTTAACCTCAGATCACTGAGCTCTGCAGCTGACCAATCAGAGAGTGGGGGGTGCGAGGAGGCAGCAGCCTGGCAGCCACACAGGAATCAATGGGGGGAGCACATTTTACCCCTTTTGACTGCCTTAGAGGTCAAATTTCTAAAAATCCTTCCTTAGTGAGCATGTATGTCATGATAGAAGTGCTCTCCCCGAATTTCGTGTTTCTATGTCCAGGGGTTTGCCCTGGGCATTGATTTTATGGTGAGGGGCAGAGGTCATTTCGGGGGGGTCGCGGGGGATCGCAGTTCCCCCGGGTGAGGTATGGGGGGCGGGGCACATGACGAAGCCCCGCCCCCTGCTTCCGGCCGCACCACTTCCGGCCCTCATTCAGCCAGGAGGAGGCAGGAGAAGAGGGAGGGTAAGTTGCTTCCTCCCTGCCTCTCCCCACCCCTGCCTGCCTGGGGCCAGGGAGGGCCTTCGCGGGGCTCCCTTGCCCCCCCGCCGGCCTTGCAGGTCCACCGCCGGGCCCCTCATGGGGCTCGGCAGTGGAGCTGCAAGGCCGGCACCTGGGGCCAGGGAGGGCCTTCGCGGGGCTTCCTTGCACTCCCGCCGGCCTTGCAGGTCCACCGCCGGGCCCCTCATGGACCGTTGGGGGCGGGGTGTGTGGCCTTATGACACACTTCCGGTGATGTCAGGGGGTGTGGCCTTATGGCACACTTCCGGTGATGTCGGGGTGTGTGGCATATGCTAATGAGTTATGCTAATGAGTTCCCCTAGCTCTTTTTCTATGAAACGACCCCTGGTGAGGGGACTTCTTCTATGTGTCCCTTATATATA